ATGCCCACAACAAAAAATAGCATGGAAATGGAGAATCACGTCTTCCAAAAAGCTAAGACTAAGGTATGTCTAGAATTATCTAAAATGCTAAAAATATATTTCGTTCTTTGCAGTTGCATTGTGTTATACTTTCTGGATTTAAGAGTGAAATATGTACATTGTTTTATACTTATTGAACTTAAAATAAAATATATAATTAGATGTTGGATTGAGGAAAGATGAATAATGACTACCTATATTTGTACAGAAGCTTATAATCCAGTTTAATAACTATATACACTATTTAATCCAAAAATTTTTTTTTTTTTATTATAACAATCATTAAAATAAGATTTTGATACTCTGAACATTTTTTTTGACATCTCTAACGACTCTAAACATATGTTTTAACATAGAGTGTTTCTGAATATAATATTATACATATATATCAAAAATTGACTCAAATGTTATATATATATATATATATGGTATATATACTGGAAAGTGTAATTTTGTAAATATCAAAAAAGGCTCATATTTAAATAATTATTATGATTAAAAGAAGAAACATTTTTGATCAAATAATATATGATAGCTATTAAACTGGATTATAAATTGCTGTGTAAACATAGTTAATAAAAAAAATTAGTTAGAAAAAACAAAATCTATTGAGTGGCACTGAAATATTATTACATATATTTGTATTTATTTTATTTAAATTTAAATTATTGAGTCATATATCTTTATAGTAGTAATTAATAGCTAATATTAATATCTAATTATATATTGCAAGTCATATTTTTTAAATTAATTTAAAGCGATATCTTGTAATATTCTTACAATGATAGATTGTTATGGTGTTAAATCTCTGAGAAGTTTATCTGTGAATTATCACCTAGATTATATTATCATATTAATTACATTGCTTTAATAACCACTGTATACTATCAAATCCAAAATTTGTCTTCTTTTGATTATAACAATCATTTAAATAGGAATCTATTTTGATACTCTAAACATATTTTTATATGTGAATGCAAACCTTTCAGTATTACTAATCTATTTTTTTTTCTTCTTGCAGGAAGAATACTTGGGTTTTGTTGCCAGATTAATTCTTCATGTCAGAGAAATGAGTAATGTTTGATATATATGTCTTATATATTATATTAATTTCTTATTACATTATAATATGAGATTTATAAAAATAATGACAAACTCTTATTACGTTAACATTGCATATCAAATTAAATATAGTTTATAAATCTTGTCAACGAGACACTGTAATTTATTCTGTTAAATACAAATTAAAAATCGTGAAATAATTGGAAGTGTATTTGTTTGCTGCTTTAAAAAAACAAGAAATTATGTGTTCTAGTCGCTTAATGATTCATTAAATTATTAATCTTATTATTAATCATACTCTATTTTTTAAAGATATTTTACCTTATATTTATTTGCAAAATTTTGAAGTTCCCCTGTCCAGTATCCTTTTTTTCAAAAAAGTCAGTTTTATTTTTATATTAGATCTCGTATGTTATTTCAGTGACATTCTATTCTTTTCGTAGATTCCAAAAAGGGTGCGGCTGGTAATGCACCAGGTACTGCTGGTACTAATAATCAAGGCATGCCTGATCCAATTGGTGCTCTTCAGACGTTGGCACGCCAGGGCACGGGAAATAATCAAATGATGGGCATGGGAGGTCCAGGTCCTAATCATCAGGGTATAATCCCGCAACCACCTGCGAATACTGCAACTAATCGTAAGTAATCAATATAGCGATTTCATGTAGGTTGAACCTTACAAAGAATAACTAATGCTTGAGCTGCATCTGTTATAACAAATAAATATTATTTTTAACAAATGTATGTGTACTTCAATGTATCGGTTATTTTACTTTTTCTTTCTGCTGTTAGCCTATCCTATATATCCCGTATTTTCTATACTGTGTATCTCGCTCCTATTCTAAGATGTATATGTTAGGTGTTAATGTAATTAAATTGATTATCAATTTAATTACATGAATGTGCTATTCTAGCTTTAGTTTGAAATTATGTTTCAAGACTGTAAGTAACGGTGGTTTGCGAAGAAAGGCGAAGGAAATTAATTCATACAAATAATATTATTAGGCTACTAAGATCCAGTCCCGACTGTAAATAGGCGTTTTAATTGATAGCTCTTATTGTTCCAACTTTTAAATTCTTGAAATATGGATATTTGAAGCAGTCTATCATTCATCGCATATTATTTTTCTCACAATCTTCAACTCGCTAATCAACCTTATGTGCCGAGATCATGGAATAAGAGTCGAGATTAAACTCGAAAATCCACCGACCACGAATCTACTGCTCTTATGTAGAGCCACATGTTATTCGATATTGTTCCAACTCATGTGTGTTTATTATATACTTACTATCATTTCTCTTGCGTATTGAATTTTCAACGTTCACTTTTCGTTCAATTTGCTAAACATTTTTCTCTGTTTTTACATACTAATAGATTACTTCTCATATTAACATAATGTCAAAATATGTTTTGCAACAAGTTTATTTGTGCTATGGAGTTATTTTATGCTAAATTTAATTTTTGGATGGAATCGGATGGTCTCTTACCCAGTTCCTTGGTTGAATAATTACAAATTACTAAAGGTATGCAAAAGTTTACATTGCTTGCGTTTAAATGCTATTGTACGCTTAGAGTTTTCTAATTAACTTTTACTCGGATTGTTTGAAGAAAAATTAAGTTTATTTAAAAAACAATATAAAATAATAGTCTGTACGCGATATTTGTTCGTATGCCGATACACTCATCAACGATCGAAAGGACCTTCTTAACGCTCGCGAAACCGTCCTTTTCTTTAATTCGCTTCTTCCTTCTTTTTCCTTCCTTAGGCCTAAGGCAATTTTCCCTACTCTTGCGCCCGATCTCTGCCTATACTTCCACACGACTCTTAGAGCCGATATCACAGTTTCCGATTAACGTGATCCTCCGATTAAACTCACTCTGCATCTCTTTCTAACTGTCCTCCTAGAAAGAGACGAAGAGTGAGTTTAATCGGAGGATCACGTTAATCGGAGACTGTGATTAGTCGTGATTCTTTTGCTCAGCCTTTCAGTATCTTTTTCGTAAGTCATGCTTCTCCTAATTGTTAGAAGTCATTACCAAAAGTATGGCTTACAGCGCTAATCATCCTTTGTTTGATTTGCTCCGCGTTACATCGATTATGGATTTCCTACCTTATCCACCATTTATGAAGTTTCAGAAAGATTCGATTTAATTAAGATTAGAATAAGAATAGAAGAATCCAATAAAAGTAAAACGTGCAAGAAGACTAAATATTAATCAGAATACTATATTTCGACGTTCACATGAAACGAGGAAGATTGAAACGAAAAGCAAACTGGATTTTGCATGAGTTATCCGACAATGTCATTACCGATTAAATCACCATTTGTCTTCCATTGAATCGGCACAGATATCCTTTTTGTATAGACTTGTCACCGGAGATGATAAATGGATTTACTACAGCAATCCTAAACATAAAAAGTCATGGGTAAATTTCGGCGAGTTTTTCCACTTCTAAGATCTAAAAAATATATCTATGATTACAAGGTTTGTCTATGTATCTGAGTGAGAGACACTTCATACAACAAAGATCCGATACACATTTTCGCAATTCTGAAGAAATACAAGAATGAATCAGTAACTTTATTTGTTTCAAGAACCGGGACTGCGGCGGCAAAAGGTGGTAGATAATGCTGGAAAATATTTTATATTAAAAATGTTTTTGTTTATAAGAATATTGAGAATATTAAGAATATACAAATATATAAAATTGCTCGAAAAAACAATGGAAATTTTTGTATACCCCACAACTTTTTAAGTATTGTATTTTGAACGTATATTTATCGTATTGAAATAAATTCTTTTTATTAATCACATTTAAAATGAATAAACATGTTGTACACTTAATAAATGTAAAATTAAATGAAAAAGTAATAAGAAATATATACATAAGCAGGCTTTTCTGTAATACTTCAACGATGACTTTGAATTGAAAAGAAATAAGTCTATTTAACTAGTGTAGTAGAATAAGACGTAACTCTTTAAGGGCCAGTTTCACAAGTGTCGGTTAACTTTTAATCTTAGATTAACTCACTCTTCGTCTTTTTCTAAGGGGGACGTTAGAAGGAGACGAAGAGTAAGTTAATCTAAGATTAAAAATTAACCGACACTTGTGTAAGCCGACGAAGTAAATATTATGATCACCTTGGACAGGTTACACAAACTGACATATACTCTAACGATACCATTGGTAACGCAAGCGTTAGCCAGGACGGAATAGAAAGCATTTATTGTGTTATCGTGCTTGAAAAAGAAGCACATTACAATATACAACTTTAAACAGTTAATAAATTTATTCAATCGAAATGTATCATATATGAAATACGGAGTGTACCGAAAAATCAGTCTAGCAGTTTTCTGACAAACGTAGAAATGTATCATTCATCATTTTCGCCACCGGATTGCCAAATTGAACATTATAGTGAGTCTGAATATATGCAACGGAGAAATAAGGAAGAGTTATCACATAAAGATTGGATGAAACAACGAAAAGATTTAGAAAAGAAAATTCAAGAGAAACTGGAGGAAAACATAAAAGTGCAATCAAGTGATAATCGTGTGAAGTTCATATACAAATGTAAAGGACACGAAGTGCTTGATGTGACGATATTTCGATTCAAGATAATACTCGTATATTACAGTTTATTGCGTAAATGGTACATTAGTCCGGGCTACTCTTTCGTACCAGAAGTGATTGATCTCAGAGACAAACTTAAATCTGGCACGAATGATCCTTTCTCCGAAAAAGTATTAAATATAATTCACGGCGTGAAATATACGATAAATGCTTTCATGAAACGTCTAACCGACGTGTATCAATTCGTGCACGATGCGCAAGAGAGAAACAAGGATGTGCAATTTGCCATGAATGCAATTGTTACAAAAATGAAACTGACATTTACGGAAAACGCGTGGCCGAATGATCTGCAAAAATCAAGTGCTGGAGATACGATTGTTGTAGAGTTAAAGTTAAATAAAAATATTCAAGTTTGCAATGTCGGTTACGAATATATACAGCAGAAGCCTCAAATTCGAACAGAAACTGCGAAAAATATAAATAAGTTGGAGTCAATGTTGCAAAATTTTTTTCATTTTCCTTTGGAAGAAGCATTCGAAAGGTTTATTATAAGGGAAGAAGAATCCACAAGTTCACAAGAAGAAGAAAGCGAAAACAGATTAGAAGATTTATCAGAAGATTCAGTTAAATACCTTTATACCTAAGATTCCTTTTTCCAGTTTACGTTTCTAAATGTTCTGTTTTCGTATTAATAATTAGTAAAAAAATAAAAAATGAACAACTGAAATCATTAATAAATCGATATGCAATAAATTAATGATTACAAATTATATCCATTTGTACTATCTACATTCTTTTTGCTTTATGATATATTCGCTTATATTTTTTTCTAGTATTTAATTTACAATACTTTTCGGCTTATTATATATTTGCTTATACAAATATTTTTTTTTTTTTTATAATGTGTTTGTAAATTTATATAATGTTATGTTTTCAAATTTCTGTTGCAATATACAAATACATGAATAGTTCGGTTTATGAAAAATATACACCTAAGTGATAACTAGTTCAAACTTCTGTATGTTTTTTTAGTTTTGCAAAGTTTAAATCAACGGCCCGGACAACCAATGAATATGCCTGGTATGCAGAACAAAATGCCAGGTATGGGTATGATGCCGTCACAAACTGGCGGTCCAATGAATCACATGGGCCCGATCCAAACTATGCAAAACAATCCTATGTTGACTCAGATGAATCAGATGGGACAAGGAAATATTCCTCCACAAATGAATCAAATGGTGCCTGGGCAAATGGGTCAATTAAGCGCTGGACAGATGCAACAAAATATGCAGGTACGCTTTATTTACTTGCTCTACTAAGTAAGTTATATAAGAAGGATAAAATAAGGAAAGGAATGGGACAGTTTTATGAGATGTTTTATGTGTTTACTTTTATCACAGTCCCAGATGCAGAATCAATTACCAACTCAAATGAATAATCAAATTACGGGACCAATAGGCAATATACAGACTAATATGCCGCAACAGATGAATCAAATTGGTCCTGGCCAATTAGGTCCTGGTCAAATGCAGCAGCAATTAAATCATATTCAAAGAAAGGTATAACATACTTATCTTTTTATTTATTCTCTTAGTACCATTTTTATTAAAAATTTCTTTATTTATTGATAATATCCTGTTAATATAATTGCCATTTTTGTTTTTAGCCAGGTGAAATGATGAATACTGGATTTCCTGGCCCACGTAACGTTACGCCTAATCAATTCTTGAGGCAGAGCCCGTCTCCTTCAGCTCCGAGCCCAGCTGGTTTGGGAGCTCCGTCGAGGTAATATTAACAGACTTTTTAAACATAATTTTGTTAGAATTGTGTGACAGAAGTATAAAAGCATATTTCTGTCATTATTCCTGACATGACATCATTATTCATGGCATAATAACAAAACGAAAAATTACATTTCCACAGTAATCAAATGGTTGCCTCGCCCGCTCTAGTGCCATCACCAAGTCCTCAACATGCCATCATGACAGGACCATCTCGTTCTGTGAATTCCGTAGGTAAGATCAGATAATCGAGAATTAACAAACATAGAAAATAAATATAGGTAAAAAGGAAGGAGAAAAGAATGGAATTATTAAATAACACATATTAAATGATACGTTGAACTAGGTATGGCACCGTCTCCAAGCAGTTCACTAAATACTCCCGGGGGTGTAGGAGCCACACCAAGTCCTCAGCAAGAAGATCAGGCTTACAGAGACAAAGTCAGACAGCTGAGCAAATACATAGAGCCATTACGAAGAATGATTGCCAAGATGAGCAGCGAAGGAAGTAAGGAGATATAATTAGTACAAACAACAATGTCAAGGTGCAACAATATCAAGAAATCAAAATTTAAAACATTAAAGATCTGTTTTATTTAAAAATAAGAAGTTTATTCTATAAAAATAATATACTAAAAATTATACTTGAAAATTTACATAAATAATATAAATTATTTTCATATAGATGGAAATATCAACAAAAAAAGAAAATTACATGTTTTTAATATTATATATGCCTTTCCAATATTAAGCTATTCAAATGAGCAATATTATTATTTATATTGATCGTTTTTTCTATCGTAGATGTCGATAAACTCAGTAAGATGAAGAAGCTCTTAGAAATTCTATCGAATCCCAGTAAACGTATGCCACTGGATACATTGCTAAAATGCGAAGTTGTCTTGGAAAAGTTAGACTTCAAGAGAGGGGACGGTAGTGTGGGACCGCCAGTAACGACATTGAAGGAGCACCAAATTTTCAGTCCACTGTTAGAAGCTGTGAGCACACACCTCCAAAGCCCGGTAATCAATCACACGTTACAACGTACTTTTGGACCATGTTTGGATGCCTTATTTGGACCAGAAATAAAGTAAGGACGCATACATACATAAAAAAAGATTATCATTTTATTTATTAAGTTTACGATCAAATTGGAATACATTCTATTATTTGTATAAAAATAGAAATTTGCCGCCACCCTTGAAGAAGCAAAAAGTAGAAGAATCACCTAGCGAAATACCTGACGTATTACAAGGAGAAATAGCTAGACTCGACCAACGGTTTAAAGTATGTAACATCATCTCTTAAGCTCATTTTATAATAATGATAATTTACACTTTGTTTTAAATCACGTATTATATTTTATCAAAAATTTATGTTTATTATTTGCTTGGAACTTAGGATCTGGCGTACTTTCTGCCTATAAAAGTATAAATTGTATAAATATATAATTCGCGAATTTTCTTAACATTTTGTCAACATTTTTTTATGTAAGATGATATATCAAGTTGTACACGCAAATCTTGTCTCTAGCTTATAATAATTAAAAAGGTTCGTATTGCATAATTGTTATTAATATATAATGCAATTTTCTCATTTTAGGTCAGTCTAGACCCAGCACAGCAAAGTGGATCGAAATGTATACAATTGATATGTTGGCTTGATGACCGTCATCTTCCATGCGTTCCACCGATCTCGGTTACAGTTCCCGCAGATTATCCTTCAACGCCGCCTCGCTGCGTCATGGCACCGCACGAATACGAGGCAACGACATTCCTGTGTGCTGTACAAAAAGCCCTGAACGTCCGTATCGCAAAACTGCCGCGCCGTTTCTCTCTTTCCCAACTATTAGACACGTGGGAGATGAGTGTTCGACAAGCCAGCGCACCAAAGGAAACGTCTATTACTGCTAGTACAGTCCTGATGGGTTTATAGTACAAATCGCACGAATATCTGATAATATCTATACAACTAGGCTATTGTAAGCAAATATCCATAAACTCTACGAAAATCTATAACTATTGCAATGAAATAAGCATAAACTCTTCGAAAAACATTGTATTTTTCTTTTATTAATATCAGCAATTAACTATAGATCTAATTCTGATAGTTGTTTCAAAAAAGTATTTTCGTATCCATTAAGTGTTCCGGAAAAATTTTTTTTTACAATTAATTAAAATTTAACAAACTAAACGGCGAGATATTTAAATCGCTATGATTTTCTTGGGTGTATAGAGTAAATCTATGAAATTTTTTTTTTACATAGGTACATATATTCTTTCTAAGTTCATATGACTGTGCTACTTAATTATATAAAGCAAAGTGGAAGTTTTTTTTTCAAATATCTATTTATATATACATATGTGTAAATATAAATGTATAGTGCAAATATATGTCATAGTGAAATTATGTAATTCACTGATTTTACACAGGTAAATTTCTATAAAATTGCAGACTATATTAGTAAATACGTAAAAAATCGTCTTTTTATACAATTATCTGTAATTTTATAAAAATTAATTACTGTAAAAAAAATTATATATGTATATATATATGTAGGTTTTTTATTCAAAACAACTTGTGCTTGAAATGTCACACTCCTGATTCATTTTTTTGAGATGACTTTTCTTTTTCCAAAATATATATACAATTATATATTGTATTATTTAACATATATATGTATATGTATATTTCCATTAGATATAATGAAGATATTATTTCCAGTATTATCTACATATAATAATTATACCATATGTATAATACAAATGCTCTATATGATAAGATTATGTATTACGTAAAGATAATATCAAAACCAGGTTTAAAAAATAAAAATTTTATAACTAATATTTATTTTGAGAATTTAGCAATGCAAAGTAAAACATGTCTTTCTTCATGAAATAATCTGATTTTTTATTTCTCTGTCTGTAGTTTTTACAATAAATTAATATCATTTGTTCAAAGCTGAACTGATTTCTTTTTTCATTTTTTATATATCAGATCAGATCAGATAACCATCAGTATAGAAGGTAAGGAATAAAAAAGTTTAGTATAACTTTGGTATAATATTTGTAAAATTTTAAAGATATAATTTTTTATGATTCTTTTTGACATAAATTTTCTCTCTTGCTTTAATCGATTGTTCACTAAAGACACGATTTTTACGAGGAAAACGTTTTCGGTCAATTTACTTGAATTTGTGATACATTGTGGTTCTTGTGTCTCAAATTTAAGCAACATTCTATGATTAGTTGCTGAATTATAATCATTTAAAAGTCTCCTTCACAAGAACTGTTCGTACGTTTGTCTACAGGAGCTTGCACTTGTGTTTGCCCGTATATTATGAGAATCGTGCAGCGGTATCCTTTATATATGTTTATAAATGTAGATGTATATAAAAATATATAAAAGCGAAAAAATAACATGTATAAATTGTCTAGAAACAAAAATTTAAGTAATTCTTGACAAGGTATACAACATTCTGACTCAAATCTGACGGGTTTAAAGTTTAGAAGTATGCTGCGTTTGGTAAACAATCCCGTTTGACAATAAATCGTCAATTTCACTAGACTGAAATTTTAATTCAGTTAAGATTTGTACGGTGTCGTCACCGGGTTGTGGGTTTCTGCGAGCTCCTACAGAAATGCCGGGTGTGCGAGATAAGCGAGGAGCGGGATTTGGAATTACATCGTCCCCCACAGTCGTAAACGTCTGCCTCTGCTTATTGTGAATATGTGATGTGACGTTTTTCAAATCTAGCATCGGTGTCACGCATGCATCAGTGCCGTCAAATATAGCGCGCCATTCCGCTTGAGTCTTCGTCTTGAAAATTTCCGTGATTCTGCGACGATTTTCTTCGAAATTTTCATACTGCGGTACCTCGTCGCTTGAGAGACCAAGCTTCTCTAAGAAAATTTCGTAGAACTGTGGTTCGAGCGCTCCAACACACATATAAAGCTTATCCTTCGTCTCGTATGTATCATACCAGTGCGATCCTGTGTCCAAACTGTAGGAAAAGTAATTATAAATAAATCTTTACAAACTATGTATATATATATAAATATATATGTGTGTGTGTGTGTGTGTGTGTGTGTGTAAAACAAAAATTTAAAGTACTTATGTATTCCAAGGAGGTACTTACAAATTTTTGCCACGCGCATTTCCCCATATACCCATTTTCTGGGATCTGAATAACCAGGACCCTAAGTATGCCGTTCCCTCTACCATTGATAGATCTATCACCTGTCCGACATTGCTGTTAGTTCGTTCATACAACGCCAAGATTATCCCAAGAGCGCACATTAAACTACCGCCACCGAAATCAGCAGCCAGATTGACGGGTGGTGTAGGTTTTTCATTAAATCGACCAAATAAAGATAGTAATCCTATATTAACAATTTGTATTGCTAAATAAGTCTTGCAAAATAATTAAGACTTATTGGTGAAGAAATTATGTCATGATAAAAGGCAAACTAAGAAATAAAATAAATTTACGTAAAATAATTTAAGGAAAATTATTTGATGTAAATACAAATATGAATGAATGTAAGTGTAGGTATAGTTCTTTTTCTTCATATTCGTTGAATAACTATAATGTGGATCGTTATATATTACAACGTATGTTTATATATATATATATATACCAGATAAACCCAAATAGTTGATATCATGACCAGCCATATCTGCGTAAGAGCCACTTTGCCCATATCCAGTCAATCTAGCATATATCAATTTCTTATTTGTTGCCATAAGTTCCTTTGGTCCAATCTTCAACTTTTCCATAACTCCTATTGTATAAATATATATTTGTGTAAATTAAAAAATTTTATTCTTAGTTATTATTAAAAATGTAATACTAGATATCTTTCTCGCTATCTTAAAAGTCATTTTAAAGACTACGCACCTCTTCTGTACGTATCAATAACAACATCGCTTTGGTTACTTAATTTTTTAAAAATATTAATACCCTTTTCGGATTTCAAATTTAATGCTATCGATCTCTTCCCATGGCCTATACAATCTAATGCTTGAGCTCCAATCTGTAATGTAATAAAAAATAATTAAGGTATAAATTTCTATAAAATAAAACTCAATTTTTAAAATTATACTTTTAGACTATATATTATGTATGGTACTATGTGTGGTACATAGACAATATTATCATGTACACAATTATTACATACATATATTTCTTAATATTTAATATTAATAATATGATAATGTTTATTTTTCTGCTAATATAAGTTGCAAATTTATCATACATATAAATTTTAATGAAGCATTCTAACAGAATCTACCTGTTAATTACCTTATCCACTCTGATAACGGATGCTCCAAAATCAGCTAAAATCATTCCACATACAGGTCCTGGAGCTAGCCCAGCTAACTCTAAGACCTTGATTCCTTTTAGAGCCATTGCCTCCATCGATGAATTAATAAAACTTCACAACTTTTAAGAAAGTTAGTTAACTTGAAATTCATATAAAATACCTTTATTGTTAAGAAAACCCTAGCTCTTTCTAACAAAACATTTAATTATATATTATTAATTTGCCTTATCACAACCTTATTCCTCATTAACCATCAGCAGACATGTTGATTACACAGTACTATACACTCTATACAGCATGACAATGCATTTATAACTGGACCATGACTGGACCTATTCTTAACATTTCCATATATTTGGAACTTATTCTTGACATTTCGGCGCAACCACACGTGGTTTTAGCATGGACATGCATGGACATAACCAGACATAAAGGCCGCGGTCCATTTGACGCTACAAATGCTTCGGAACGTTCTTCTTCTCCTTCTTTCTTCATTGAAAGAAAGGAGAAAAAGAATGCTTTGGAGCATTTGTAGCGCAAGTGGACCGCAGCCAAAGTAAAGGCACGTGCGCGTATCCGTGCGCATGTATCTTATACATATAACCTCACTCTATCAACTACCGCCGTCGATAACACATTCGACGCGTACGTGTAAAAAAAATAAAAATAAAAATAAAACTGAACTCAAGCCAAAGGCACTCGAAAGGTCTTCAATGGCAAGATTAAAAAGAAATTTGAACAACGCGCTACAATATTTCTTATCTCGCGAACAAGCGTAGAATTGAGGAAAGAGTTAATTTTGACAAGAGAATTGCGAGTTCGAGTATTTTTTTATAAAAAATGCTTTTAATTTTCGTTATCTTGCACGCCTTTGTGACTGTTTTTTTTATATCATCTAATATCTCGTTATATTACTCTTCCTGTCTTTTTGCTAAAAACTGATATATTGTTTTTAACATTTTAAGTTCTTTCCTAAATATCAGTTTTTTTATATGACGAGTTAAGAATAGGAAGATATCCTTATCCTAGGTCTATGATTATATGCTATCACGTATTTATTTTAGAATCATCGTGAAGTTGCACACATACGTTAATTCTTCGATACTGTCGCACAGGGCTGCGTTCGAAAACTTCACTCGGGTGCACACCAACGGTACGTCGCGTCGTTCTGTCCTTGTTCAACTTTTAATGAATAACAAAGATAGAACGACGCGGTGTGCATCCGAGTAAAGTTTTCGAACGCAGCCCAGACATGAGACAACGCGATGCTGCAGCCGTGATTTCCGTGGATCCGCGGAGAGAGACGTCTCGCGCAAAAAATAACTTAAAGTGAGCTATGAGCGCAGCGAATCACGCGCGCGATTAATATTAATACAGATTAGTTTTTTCTACATAGAACGTTCCATATAAATGTAGAACGTGCGTGCGTTATGTAAGTTAATAATTATGTTATTATACAACTAGGGCAAAGGTCGCGAGCCGCGGGTCTTCAAAAGCGAGTCCTGCGGGCGCGGAACGCCAGATGGCACCCGCATTTGGCGCCCTTTTCAATGTCGAAGGGCACGAGAGAGCACCGCGAGCACCCCGCGTCACGGCACTTGGCAATCTTGGATGACATCATGTTTCACATGGGTGTTTGATTGATTTGTTATTTATATTATTAGCCTACGGAGCCTATGAGGTCTTTCCCTTCCCCCGTACGTAGCTCGTTTAGACCCCTCGTTTCACGGTTGTCGTGCGGCGTTTATTACAATTTTTCTCCTCAGCGTTGCGATCTCGCGATCGCGCCCTGTCGAAAATACCGGCTGGTCGCGCGAAAGGTAGTGGATTCACTGTACTGGTGAATCACCGTTGACGTTTCAGATCGAGTTTAAACTAGCAACAGCTGAGCGGCCTGTCGGATCTCTGCGCTTCGCTTTTCGTCGCCAATTCTCACAATGGCTAATCACGGTACGGTATTTAAGGAGTAGAGTTTTTAATTTGGCATCCGCGCAATTGTGTACTTAGGTTATGTTTAATCCAATTATTCTAGACGAGGACAAGAGCGAGGGCTCCGTCGAGATAGGAGGTGAAAACGAGGGGGAGGAGTCCGAGGAACCTGACAAGATACTGATTATAGATCCCGATAGCGAAGTGCGTTTTCTGATTTACTCCTGTTAAACGGAGTTTAATTTTTCAAATTGTCACGTATCGCTGTGTATACACTGCCGACAAAGTTACTGTTACGCCGATTATTTTAGGAATTAGACTTCAATCACTCGAAGCTCACCAAACTGGAAAATTTGGAGCCGCTGACGCAAATACGAAGATTATGCTTCACGTGGAACCTGATTAAGAAGATAGAAAATCTCGATACGCTTACTAGTTTGGTAGAACTGGAGTTAAGAGATAATCAAATTATGACTATAGAAAATCTAGACGCTCTCGTGAATCTAAAGTACGTTCTTGACTTTAATTTTTGTTCGTTCGCTCATGTAACGAGCGACGCATCCTAATAATGTATGGGTTTTAGATTCTTGGACCTGTCATTCAATCGTATTAAGAAGATAGAGGGGTTGGACAGTTTACTGAATCTACAAAGATTATTTATATCGTCGAATAAAATTTTGAAAATCGAAAACATCTCGCATCTGGCGAATCTTACGACGCTGGAATTAGGCGACAACAAGATACGCGAAATTGAGAATCTGGAGGGTCTCGAGAAGCTGAACTATTTGTATCTCGGTAAAAATAAAATTACCAAAATCGAAAACCTGGAGAGCCTGAAAGATCTCACGCTGTTAAGTCTACAAAGTAATCGGATCACGAAGATTGAGAATATTGAAGAATTAAAGAAACTGAATGAATTGTATTTATCTGAAAATGGTATTATGTGCATAGAAGGCATAGGGAATTGTCCAGAGCTAACGACGTTGGATTTAGCTAACAACAAAATTAAAAAGATTCAAAATATGGATCATCTTGAAAATCTCGAAGAATTCTGGGTAAGAGGAATTAATCTGCTAAACAAATGCTTCTATATCACGTGATTGTATATTATTTTTATAATTTATATTATTTAACATTTACAGATGAACAATAATGAAATTGAAGACTGGAGCACGTTGGAGAGTTTAAAGGCTAACAAAAAGCTGCAAACCGTGTATCTGGAGAATAATCCCATTGCGAAGGATCCAAATTACAGAAGAAAAATCATGCTGTTGCTGCCGTGGCTCGAACAGCTGGATGCGACTCTTTGTAAGAGGAAAACTGGCCAACAATGGAAAGAATAACAATAAGTAAAATAAAAATAGGTAGTACGACTAAAGAAATTAGCGTAAATTGTTTATGGAGGATCTAATCCGGACATTGCACTGTTGTTACTTTCTTTCGTTGTACCCGATACGATCGTTGTGTAGAGGCTTGGCCACATAAGATTAATAATAGTGTACCGAAGACACACTTGATACTAGGATATCATGAAACTACTACTCGATGTTGAAGTCCGTTTAGTAATTACTTTTTTTTGTGCCGAAAAGGAAATACGAGAGATAGTCAATCCTTTTGTCATGATAAACAGAAACACAACTTTCTAATTTCGAACAAATCTTAATATATTCTTCTTCCTACTCTAATCGTATATACTATCGTATTATACTGCACATTTATGTAAAAATCTATATATCTGCACGTATCTTTCTCTATCAATTGTTATCTCTATCAATATTTTAAGAAGCTAATACATAGAGATTTTGAATATTCCAATTATTTCTAAGATATATTTCCATAAAAGAAACTTCTTTACAGTTATTTTTAACGATCAACGTTTTATTACAAAAATAAGATGTACATCTATATTTTATAGCAGCGCAAGGCAGCTTTTTGTAATCGCCACTTTGTTGACCCGTCCTGATAACGATTATTGTTACAATGTAATCATATACAAAGTATTCTAAGCTTACATAAATAAATCATTAAATGTCCCGATCTCGCCGAGAGTCAATCAAATTTAACGTAGAGCAACAGGCGAAAATTAATTATATCCTTGATCCTGATATTAAAATCAATTATTTCGTCATCAACGTGGAATTCAAAGCCATACAAACAGAAGAATATAATTTGCGTCAGTCTGTTCGCCCGGTATGACGCTTTCCGTGCATTTGCATTCTTTTTTCGAGCACGCACGTCACCCTTTTTTCAACGCGATTAAAACCCTGCGCACAATAGAACACATATTAGGGAACACATCAGGGATAAGAATGAATATATATTAAATGAGAATCGGAATTGGAAATAATAATTAAACGCACAATGGAAAAGAATAAAATATAAGATATAAATATAGGAATATTCCTACATTCACATGTTCTAATATTTAATATTTATTACAGGAATATTTATATATATATATATCCTAATATTTATCAATTTAGAAAAGATCAAAACTCATGGTCGAAACGTCTTGACGATTAGTCCGACCAAAACCAATGATCGAATTGTCACGACATTGCCAAATGTTGTCGATTAAAAATAGAGTTTTTCTTGTTAATCACTTATTGCGAAACAAATATATACTTTTCGGCTAATATTTAACATTTATTCTTATTCTTTATATGTATTATGTGCCCCATTGTGCGCGGGCCGCGCGGGGTATAAATTACCGAACTGATGCGGGTGACGCAGTCGCGCGGTTCGGCCCTGTCTGTCCAATCGCCTGGCCGCAGCGGCGATTGGCCGGTGTGCGACGCGGCGCGTTTACGGTGGAGTCTCTAGAAGTGAGAGTCTAGAGTCTAGAGTCTAGCATATCTTCTAGTTTGATAGAAAATAGCATACGTGTATATATATACGTACACGTTGTGCTACAGGTGTATTGATAACTGTTTAAATGTGTTCAGATATATGAGTGTACCCTTTTTCTTCCTTACACATTTTCATCACTTCATTGGTGCCGCCATTGCCGATCAAGCCAATCAAAAGTTGGATGAGATATGCCTGGCAGACCGTCACTTCTAGGGACTCTACGCGCACGGCCGCCGCGAGCGCCGCCTCGCGTGCGGATGCGCGCCGTGACGTCATCGCGCCAGCGCTCGGCGTTCGGCCATTTTGTGTGAATGAGCGCTCTCCGCTTTCACGGGGTATTTGTGTTGCGGGACTCGCGGCGGCCAGTGGCGGAGATAGGCTCGAATGATTTAGCTTCGCGTTGAGTGAGGACACACGCTCGGCGACGGATTTACACGTGCTAGTGAAGGGGTGCGACCGACCGCCCGCCCGCCCGCGTTACACTTCCGTGCGAACTGTGGAACAGGTACGATGGAGGATAAGGCGTCGCTCAAGGAACTTGACCAGTGGATAGAACAATTAAACGACTGCAAACAACTGACAGAAAGCCAAGTGAAAACCCTCTGCGATAAGGTACACGATCCGCCGCGCTCGTTGAAGCCGCGGCTCCGCCCCGTTCCCGAGGGGGGAAAACCCGCGGGGGACCCCGCGCCGCGCCGCGACGACGGCCGCGTCGCGTTAATTATTCGCTCGGTCGAGCTGTCGCGTGTCGCGTTCGAACAGGGACACCGTGTGCGCGTGTGTGTGTGTGTATATACCGTTTTTCGATTCCCCGCTGTCTCGCGCGTCGCCGTTGAGACGTGGAACCCGCCGCCGATGTGTCACGGGGGAGTCTCCGCGGGGTCCGCGCCACGAGGATCGTCGGGTCGTCGGGCGCCCCCCCTGGGAGTAACCTCGGAGATTTCCCCCTCGTCTCGCGGACGATGGCCGGACGGCGCGCGACCGAGTTCTCGCCCTCCGGTACTCGCGGTTTTTCCGGGCCACCTTTCGGGGGGGCGACCGGGATTCGCGGTTCCCAATCGATTATTCGTGCCTGCGTGCCGTTTTGAACCTGTTAACGCGATTCCGCAACAGGTGCACGCTCTTTCGTCATCGCGTCGCGATTAATTTGCACAGGGGTGCCTGCCGTTCTACGATTTGTCTAGGAGACGAATTGTCTTATCATTTGCGCGACAATGGCAACGGATGTACTCTACGGTATCGTCTGTCACACACATTGCTATCTCTCTCTTGCGATAGGAGTGTGCGACGATGAGGAAAATTATTTTGCTATGAATCACAGAGGCACTTGCAGATTGAGAGATATTCCGCCATTGTGTTTTAACTAATGTTTAAATTTAATTGTAACAAAAAAATATAAGTAATAGTCCCAAGTTGATTAAAAGCACCTGCTTAGAACTTTGGTTCATTCAGCGAACTGGAAAAAAATAACATGAAACTTCTATAGAGGACAAGTACGACACTATTTCGCATTGAGGATTTATTCAAAGGACATTCTCGTCTATTACTCCGAGGTGTTTACCTCAGTGTTTTCGGCTCTTTATTTTAGAGTGAGCTAAATGAAACAAGTATTTTTGAATGAATCTATATTTAGACGTTTGAAGATGGTATTATAGCTGCGACATTCTTCACAATAATAATGCCTCGCCGCGTTGTATGTTATGCCAATTGGCCGAAGCCTCTGATTTTCTAAACCTAAACGTATGCTATTAATTATATCTGTAATTGGCAACGGAAATTCATTTGTCGCGAGGAATTTCTCTTTTGAGTATCGAGAAAGATAATTTATGATTGCAATCAGACATTTATAATCTGAGAGAGATACCGCCAGCGTGATATCTTTCTTATCGCATTAGTTGACATACATGTTTACGTGTTGCCTTTTGTTTCGCGTCCGCGAAAATGACTTTTCTAGCAGGAAGGGATTTAAATAAGCGTTTATACGTTTCGCACGTAAGGTGTATACCTTCTCGCGCCTGTTGTAAATCAATCTACTTCTTTTTATTTTCAATGTTTTCAACATAGCTCATAGCTACATCATCTGTGTGCCAGCAACGGTATCTTATAATATCTAAAACTTTCAGGCGAAAGAAATTTTAGCTAAGGAATCAAATGTACAAGAAGTAAAATGTCCTGTAACGGTATGCGGAGATGTACATGGACAGTTCCACGATTTGATGGAGCTGTTCAGAATAGGTGGCAAATCACCTGATACGAATTACCTTTTTATGGGTGACTACGTTGATCGTGGCTATTATTCGGTTGAGACTGTCACTCTGCTCGTAGCTCTTAAGGTACAGTGTGATATTTTATTAAATTGTCATGACTTTAATAATAATCCGTTGATTAATGTACTTAAATGTATTTAATTGTATATATAGTGCTTATACATATACGTTACTTTTTCTTTGAACAGATAACAAGAAATATATATTTAGTTTACATCTCTTCCCTTCTTCCTGTCTGTTTTGTATAATTAAAGGTGAGATATCGAGAAAGAATAACCATTCTGCGAGGCAATCACGAATCGAGGCAAATCACACAGGTGTATGGATTTTATGATGAATGCTTACGTAAATATGGGAATGCCAATGTGTGGAAATTCTTTACGGACTTATTCGATTATTTACCATTAACGGCGTTGGTCGATGGCCAAATATTTTGTTTGCATGGTGGTTTATCGCCGTCGATTGACACTTTGGACCACATACGTGCTCTAGATCGCCTTCAGGAAGTGCCACATGAAGTTAGTATTTGCATGTGTAATTTTGTACAAGACTTCTTGTACTGGTGGAACTTAATTTGTCATTATAATTGTCCGTTATTTAATATAGGGTCCCATGTGCGATCTGCTTTGGTCAGATCCAGATGATAGAGGAGGATGGGGTATTTCACCACGTGGGGCAGGGTATACCTTTGGTCAAGATATTTCAGAAACGTTTAATCACTCCAATGGACTAACACTTGTATCACGAGCTCATCAGTTGGTTATGGAAGGTTACAATTGGTATGAGTATTTTGACATTTGTTTAGTTTTAAAATGTTTTTTTTTTTTGTTCAAATCACATATATATATATATATATATATATATATATATATATATATAGCTTAGTTTAGGATATTTTATCAGAAATTTATAATGTTACTTGTAATGTTCTATCTCTCCAGGTGTCATGACCGCAATGTTGTGACTATATTCTCAGCACCTAATTACTGTTATCGTTGCGGAAATCAAGCTGCAATCATGGAACTGGATGATGCTTTAAAATATTCATTGTGAGTACGACTTTAATACGTTTGTATGTTGTAACGTAACATTTATCTGCAATTTGTTTTATTGATCTATTAAATGCGTTTGTTCAATGATTGAATTGATCTATTGAATGCATATTTAATTTTTCTAAATAATTATATAATAAATTAAAAATAAATGTAATAATTATATAAATGTGCTTTTATACATGTGTCTCATCACGTTTTCTTTATCGTCAAAAGACTTTACTGATACAATCAAGCATGTTAAAAGGTATAGTTATTAATTTGTCTCTTGATTTTTCTGTTGCAGCCTACAATTCGACCCAGCACCAAGACGTGGAGAACCACATGTTACCAGGCGAACGCCAGACTACTTCCTCTAAAGAACTAGACTTCAGGGCTAAGTGTCAAGGTAGGGGAATGGAAACGCGATCCTGACTTTATAGTGACGCCAGACAACATAACTTACAATAGAACATCGCTAAATGCGTGTGAGGCTCCGATAATGCCTTCACACATACCACATATAGCCCCAAGTATTATATCATGGCTCACTTTGTGGTGTCTCATTGAGAGATAGAATAGATTACACGCACGTTCTGTGCGTGTCTTACATGATACATGTAGACACAACATTACTTGTACACTAAAAAGGAAAAAATAATACAATAATGTACACGTATCGATTAAATTCACTTGTAGCATTGAGTTTTACAACTTTTATTATATCCGCTTGTATTTTTATTATAAAAAAAAAAAACTGAATATATAATAATGCACACGTTTGCGCGCAATAGGTAGAACAAAAAATATCGGTAAAATGGTATTGTTTTGTAATCTTGAATGAAAATACTAAAACTCGTCGAGAGAAATTTATATCAACAAAACAACATCGTGTGTATTTTAAATGATCGTGCGTTTTAAACGAAGTTGATTGTCATACAAGATTCCAGAAAATATACCAAAATGATCGTAAGTTATATTTAAGAGAGTGTCACGTTATTATTAGTGTGAATGGAGCATGAAATGTTCCACTTGAAGGAAATGCAAGGTGAGTTGATGCAACAGTAAATTGGCATGCATAAATTGTGCCATATAAAGATTCAATAAATATAATTTCCAAGTAGAAAGTTATTAAAAGATTTAATATGGCATTACACATACGAATTCATCAGAATCATGATGAGCAATTCGTTTCGTTAGAATTACAGTCACAGTATTTATTATTTCTAAGCCAATGAAGTAGACATTTTTATTTAAATGGCATAGAAATTCTGAAAAGGCGAATGTAAATCTTGTTCTCGTTGATGTAGCTTTCTATTAATCCATAATATTATTTTTGCGAAATAATACGCGTTTGTACAATAAAAGAAAAATCGATGAGAATGATATCTACATCCGCACTTTAAATATTTTTATTTTTGTTTAGGCAAAATGGTTATACTTAATACTTTATTGTACATAAAATTTAGTTGCTTTATTTTTCTAACAGTTGTATTTTTATATCATAAATTTGTCTCGTAATTGTAGACTGCAATATAAAATTGAGTTACACTGGTTGATAATTAATAATTTAAAAAACTACGACACTTTTGCATCAATTCTATCTGCCTTCTAAAGTGAAACACATACTTTATATCGAGTGAATATATGCATTCATGATGGTTAAATTAAACGGAAGAAAATTGATTGCTTGTAAACCTATCGACGATCTTTTTACTAATAGATATAAAATGATGCTTCTGGTAAATAAACATGTGTAATGCAAGCCAAAGCAACCCATTGTCAAATTTTATATTCGTTAAAATAGCAATTTCTGTACCATGAGCAGCTAAAAGAGAAAAAAAAAAGCACACGAGGATGTATTTATAAGAATAAGCATTGCAACTCGAATATGATGCATAATAAAGCAATTACAATAGCGATGACAAAGGACGACAAGGCGAACATAAAATGTGTTAGATGCACATTATTAAGCAATTAACTAAGACTGTAAATCCATATACAACACAGGATACAGCGCGGAGTTAACGCGAGCCTTCTGCACAATGCAGGCTGAGCATTTTTTTCTTCTTTTTTTCCGTTTTCTATTATACAATATGCGTATATACATAATATTCTCTAGACTACAATAATAAGAATAAATTTTCCTATAGAACAAAAATGCACTTGTAGTATTATATATAATGCGACGGAATTTAAAGGTATAGCGAAGGAATAATAGGTACTGTACCAGCAGTTTATTATAGCTAATTTTATATCTGCTCTATTTATTGCCCTCTCACATGCATACCAATCTTCATACAACGGATGAAATTAACATGAAATACTGAAACACTACCAAAAATAGGTATTTCGGTGGAAACATGCATAGTACCTTAATATCTACATGAATATTATCATATTTTTATTTTATATTGGCGTGGAAAAAACAGGGAAGCTATTGTACACGGTGCCCATTTTAACAGAAACAAATATCTTAAAAAACGAGTGAATTTTACACAAAAACAGTAGTTTATATAAGGATTAATTTTGAACATCTTATGTATGCATTTATTGGAAGTTGAGTTATTTCCGAAATTTAACACCTTTTTTTAAATAACACTTCATATTTTTTTTTAATTTTAATTTATCAAGTATCATAACTTTGTATGTATAAAAAGTAATTAAGATTATTTTAAAAAGCTTTACAAACTAGTAAATATGATTTTATGATGTACGAATTTTATGATATACATCTTGTGATACATCTGATAAAAACAATTTTTTAATATAAATTTTGCGTAAATTATTTTGTGTAAATCCATTTATTTTTTAAATATTTGTCTATTTTCATAAAAATGGAACACTCTGTATTCTTAGAGACCCATGTATACATTAAATATTTTTTGTTGGTCTAAATTTCGAAAATATTCGTACTGAATAAATTAAATAACTCATTAATACATATATGATAATCTTAGCTGTTTGAGAAAGAGAGAGAGAAAGAAAAATTAATTTCATTTTAGATTTAACTTTATAGAAATTTATATGGTTAATTACAATATGTGTGGAGCAAACTTTGTATATCCTAATAAACTAAAAATTTTTTGTGATAGCTTTTATAATTTTTTAACTTATCTGAAATAATACTTAAATCGATTGTACACATGATAAATATAAAATTGAGCCATTATAAGCATGCAATACTCTTGAACTTTACGCGATATGAACTTTATTTCGATACTTTTAATTTAGCTTGCAAAATCTGGCATCACACAGATAAGCCCGGATTTGCGAAAAGAAACAGAAAAATGCCATGAACATATAATTATATAATGTCATTTTATTATAAGGAATTAGAAAAATAAAGAGATATTATCACATTTAGATTAGGGTTTTGCTTACACTCTATATATACAAAATATTTCGCAAAGAACACAATGTTTTATGTATAAAACTCATTTCTTATGCATGGTTTTTAATCATTTAAAATATCGTGTATATATAAAATCATATATTTTATTAGCTTATTGTTTGGTACTTGTATTTACGTTACGCGATAAAAAAGATAGGTAGTATGTATAAAGATAAAACTTCATCAGCATATCTCTGAGTTATATGTACAAATAAATATTCTAGGATAACATGTACAAAAATATCTTTTTTTTCTCACAAATATACAGCTTTGTCAGTATCTACAATAATGCATATTACATATCAGAGTAATAATTTGCCTAATTTTATTCCTTCAATATTGGAGCAAGGATTATTATGTATTTTGTAACAAATATTTACTTTTTACGAAACACATTTGCTATGTTTCGTATTAATCTGCAATATAATTGTGTAGGCATAGGTAATATGAATTCAGTTTGCAATATTTAAAAATTTTGAACAATGTACATTCACACATTATTGTATGTATGTATAGAAATTATGAGCAAGTTTTTCATTTAGAAGAGATTTATATCAATCGCGAATATACAATATATGATACATCTGAACATTCCAATGTATGACATCTTTTCATAAGTTTCTAATCACATATCTATTTAAAAACTTTTATTCTCTTTTTGTTTAGCTAAAAATTAAAAACACTAAAGCAAGATGTTTAAAATACTGTTACATGATCTCTCTGCGGTTTATCTTTTCCATTTCGTAAAAAATTAAACAGCTTTATAGATATAATACATATCTATAAATATATCTATAAAGATTTAATTTATATTACGAAAAGTGTACATATACATTCATACATATATGTATATATATAATTTAGTTATAGTTTTATTCCAGTATCTAAATTGAGCATCTGCTTCATAACTTCGTATGTCGCAAAACCAACTGCCGTAAAAGGAACTGCTCGTAAGAAATTGACACTCATTCCACGATATAAACCTTTTACAATGCCATTCTCGATATATATCATTCTAAGAGTGGACAACATTCCCGATCTGGAAAAAAAAATAATTTTATAGATTAATATACTATTTTAATTAATAAAATTATAATAGTTAAATTTATTCACAATAAATTAGTAATTAATGGAATTAATATTTTTTAAATTCATATAGATTAAAAAACAGATACTAATAAAAAAGCAATCAACCATAAGAAAAACACATAACATATAAATATATTTGTCAATTATTGTAAATTAAGTATCGTACACGATACTTACGCGTATTTATATGTAGCTGGGTTCATCATAGCCAATTGCATACGTCTCTTTGTAACATCTAATGGATAGGAGAAGGTATGCGCTACGGCACCGGCAGCACCCCCACACAGAAGTTTTGCCGGTATATTCAATATAAGACCACCTTCAAAATAAAGAGACATAATATTAGTTGCCACATACTTATTGTTCATTTTGCTGGAATGGCTTTCCTCTTACTTACCGGTATTCGTTTCATGCTCGGAACAAAGATAATGTGACGCATATTTCATGCTTAGATATTTCACCTTCTCAAACGTATAAAATGAAAATCCGGTGTATGGTACCATGCCCAACATAGTTGGCCAGAAACCTCTGTACAACGCTTGAAGGCCGCCTTCCTGAGATATTTAGTAATTATTACCTTATTTTAACATAACAAGAGACGTCAAAATTAGAAATTAATGAAACTTTAAATTACGTTTAAACTATATTCATATAGAATATGAAATACTGAAGATATCAAATCTATTATAAACATATACAATTTATCGACTTGTTCGTGCATTTTCAGTGCAACTTTAAAGACTTGATGATCTCATTCGTTCATTTAAAATTTATCATCGTAGTTGTTTAATCTCCAAGATAAAATAATCAAGACTATTAATGTTACGACCTGAAGATGCAATTATATTTTCTATATTTCTTCATTTAAATGTGTCTCTTGACAATAGGCTTCAAGAGCGTTGATTGATTTACCTCCTTCAGCATTCTCACAGCGGCGTGTTTGATTCCAGAGTAAAGTGTATTGCTGGTAACTTGAAAGGCTAGTCTTGCTCTGATAGTGTCGAGCGGATACGTAATCGAAGCCGCTGTGACGCCGGCGGCGGCTCCGGCCAAAAATCCATTTACATGCGGACTTTGCTCAAATGATTCCTCCAAGTGCTGAGAGAAATTGCGTGAACATTAATATCAGTTTTAATTACCAGTTACAATTACAGAAACAGAGATTGAACGTGTATGTACAACACAGAATGGATAGCTGAAATTTTCTCAAAATGTCATGCAGACAATCGGCCAAATATTATTACGTAGATTAGAGGTGCACTGATACTTCAAATAATCTGGCTTCTCAATAAGGAGACTTGTTTGCTTACTTTGTGTCTCACACATATATTCCGTCTCTACATGTTCCTGAGACTTCCTCTATCAACTGAAAATTGTCGTTTATCTTAATAAAACATCAAGTATTGTTGGGATACGAAGAGTATTTGACCTCCAATTGAACTGATATCTTTTACAATGCCAATTTTCTTATCATTACAGGAGGAACTTCAGCTAATTGGTTATAAGTAAAATAAATTATTGATGATGGAGAGTTTTAATTTAAGTTTAAGAGAAAGCAGAATCGCATTGAATCCGATGCGTGAGCATTTTGATACGTGATTTCTAAGATTTTCCGCACCTTTTTATACTGTTCATACGCTGTAAATTGTATCGCTGCGTATGGCACGGCCCTGATCATTTGAACGAGATTGCCTTTATACAGAGCAAGGAAATTTTCCCGTCGAACAATTTCCCTGAATCCTGAGAAAACGCCTGCAAAATTTCACATATTTACTCATGTGTGTCGCGTACGAATACTTCGTATTATTTGTATCTACTGCTGACAAAAGACATCCTCACCTAAATGTTTGTAGTGCTCGTGCTGCGCTTGCAATAAAATTTTGATTCGGTCCAACGGTGCCACGGCTGTTTTCGAGCACATACCGGCAACACCTGCGCATAATTCATTTAAATAATTTTAATATATAATTTATATTCTTGATATTTATTGAAATTTATAAAAGGATTACAACTCACGCATTTTTATAAATGCCAAAAAAAAGTCCCGAAATAACTATCATGTAGACAAACGTTAAGCAAATCCCCAAAAACGTTTCGATAAAAAAGTTAATATACATTCGTATATCGCGGTGTTGCGATTTTATTTATTTTTTTTTTAACAGAAAGCATTTAAAATTGACCAATTAGATTCACAGAAATTGAATTTAGAATATAAATGAGATAAAATACTTGTGTTATATTGTATACATATACACGTAAGAATGATAATATCGGAGACGCGATACCTGCAAGCAACTTCATCGTGCGATGTCATTGGCCACGCAAATATTGAACAATCTAATTGGTCGAAAACTTCAAATATTTGTTATTTAAAAATTAAAACAATCGAGATGTTTCCGTTATTAAAATTTTCATTTGCAGAATTGTTTGTAGAATTCGCTATTTAAAATAGAACCTACATAATTTCTGTTTTTATAAAGATAATAGATATATAAATTTTAAAATAAAAATAGTCTATAACATTTTATCTTCATTAATTTATATTTCACGTTCTGACTGTTGTATTTGTTCAAATTTATTCACAATATCTCTTATCATAACTTGATTTTCTTGGTAATATTTCAATTGTATTAATAATATTTAGTGTTATATATAGACATTCAAAGCAACATAAGAACCTATAAAAAATAATTTTAATAGCTATATAATTTATATTCTTGAATATATATATTTAAAAACACAACATTTTTGTGCCAAATAAAACGGTAATGGAGGATATAAAGAACCATATAACGGGACTTACACAAAGAATTTAATATGAAGAATCTTTTCATTTTCTAAGAATATAGATTATTTTATACATTATTTTAAACTATTTTACTGAACTTTTTATATTTTGTGTCATGAAAAAAATGTATAGTATTCCATTAAAAACAATAAATTTTATACATATGAAATATTACAATTTTATTACATATTACAAAAAATATATTACAATTTTATAAATTTCTCAAAACAATCTCTGAGTTTATATTTTACGTATAAAGTTCCTCTTATATGTCATTTTCTTTTTTTTATCTCCACTCCAATTACGGATAAATAAATACATAAATTGTTAATTTTTAAACAAAAAAGAGGCAAATTGATTTATCAAGAGAGAGCAATCATTGGCCACATTCAGCAGAACGTTTGTAACTGTTGAAAGTTTTCTGAGCCTAGATTGGATTATTTCTCTAGATCTAAAAGAATAATCCAATCTGAGCTCGGAAAATTTCCAACAGTTACAAAATAAACGTTCTGCTGAACGCAGCCAATAGCTGCCAATGGTCTTAAACAATCCAAAATCGTTATCATAATCATCACTAATCTATAGAATATATGATAGATTTATTAAGCGTGGTTTTACTCAAATTCCGATTAATTTAATCGGTGATCAATTTATCAAGCAATATCTATAGATAGATATATATATATATTGTTTCGTTAACATTATACATAGAATTATTAATGTTTTGGTCGATCATACGTAAGAAAAAGGTTAGATCAGAGATAACAAATTATATAGTTAGACATTTTGCTAGTTAAACATTTTACTATTCTGCTGATTAAATTAATCGCTGATTAATGTAGTCGAAGTTTGATTAAAATCGTTCTAAATATAACGTTCAATTGAAATATTTGTTTCAAAACTTCTGAACAAACTAGGAATGGAGAATCTGTGATGTCATTGATGCGTTCATAAAGTTTCTATTAAAATGCCAAGCATCCTGTATGAATGTACACTGCGTTTCATTAATCGAGTCCTTTTGGGTGTAGACTAGTGTGGATGAGCGCATCATTTCTATAGACCTCCCAGCCAATTGCGCGCCTAGAAATGGTGCGCTCATCTCCACTAGTCTACACCCAAAAGGACTCGATTAATGAAACGCAGTGTACAACGTAAACGCTGCTTCTGAAGATAAAGCAAAAAAAAGAGCAAAATAATAGGATATCCAAAGGATTTCAACTCACCACCGGCCACGAAATTTTTCGCGACTGCCTCGTAAATCCCGGTTTTCTTTTTGGGTCGGGTCATAGCTGCTGAATAACGTCAAAGCGGACGCAAATCGTGAATACCGAGTTCTACGAGAAAAATGCGGGCGAGAATATTCGTGGCAAAGAACGTTTACTCCATGTGGTTTCAGTTGGCGGTAATAAGGAGGGGGAAAAGGTGAATCGGGGATCGTTGACCTTGAGTGATCCATTCTCATGTAAAGAACGTGAGATATTTGTATTGTGTCTTGCCGTCCTGCCATGGAGCGACGTGCCACGTGTCCATGTGTCTCCTATGTGTTCTATTTTCCTCTGAATCTTATCTCTCGGATCTTACAGATGGTTAATCGTGAACTGAAATCACCTGCAACGTAATACTATAACATGAGCTTTTGCTAGCCATATAACTTTTAGTGATATTTAATGATATTCAAAGTCATTTTGGTTGGAATTTTTTATTTGTGTACATATATAAAATGTAAATGTAAAATTCATATTCATCGAAAATTGACTGTTACGAGTAGCACTCTTTAATTTTAATCGTGTCGACTGTAGCGCAAGTTTCCTAATAACGTCATTATTGAAAGCGTTTTTCCTGTGCGTGCCTGTATATATATATATATATATATATATATATATATATACAGGCACGAAAATGATTGTATTTGTTAAATTAACTATTTCTGGAATCGAGACATTATATATATCATATATATATATCAAGAGTACACGCCGGTAATGCCAAGTACGCGCGGAACGAGACATTACAGTGTATATTTATGTATAATAACGTCATTACGATATATATATAAATATATATATAAATAGTTAATTTAACAAATACATTCATTTTCTAATATAAACGCGAAGTTATATTAATAAGTAACTTAATTTGTACATAAATCTTGTTATAATTAATCTCTAGTTATTCTTTATATTTGTAATATTACGTCTTTATTATAAATTTTTAGAATTTATAATAAAGAGGATGTTTACATCAACGAGTTCTTTTGAAAGATCATTCGATAAATAAATAAATTTGACACTTTCGGTCATTAGGTGAGATCTTATGCCTCTTTTGTGGAAAACTTGTCTCTATCCAACGTTCGATTTGCAATTAAATATCTTATAGGAGAACGCGCTAGGGACCCTAGATAAAGAGAAGTTTGATCCCTATAAAATATAACTTTCTATTGGATATGAGACGTGTAAACCTCCTCCTCCATGCATAGCAACGTGTATGCGGAATCCTCTGGGATTAGAGAATTAAGGTGAAATTTCATGCGCAGTGAAAAGCAACAGCAGATCGTACTGATTGGCTACAAAATAGAGAAGTTCTCGAGTTTCTAGAACTCCTCTATTTTATAGCCAATCAGTACGATCTGCTGCTGCTTTTCACTGCCCATGAAATTTCACCTTTAGAGAACGCTTGATAAATTTGAAAGTCGGAACATAAAACCATAAATTCATACTGGAAATTGTCCTTATGTTAATATCAAGCGATGTTCGCGTTCCTCCGACAAGTAATGGAAGAAAGATGCGCAATCCTTCAACTCGGTACGCATATAAATAATTTAGAATAATAAGTGTCCGTGTAATGTTTTTTCACCGTTAATTCTTATTGTTTATATAGAAACGGTACTGGCCGAATCCGCTATAAGTATGACTATTAGTAAGAAATTTTTGGGAGTTCTACAATTGTCGTTTGAGGTAAAGTACATGGATGAAGACATCAAACTTGCTAAGAAGAGAAAAAAAATCAAAGCCATAGAGGAGAAAATGAATGTATTATATCAGAATGTAATGGATGTTTCAAGAGACGCAAAATTGGATGATATTGTTGCTTTATCGAATGCTTATTACAACATAGGCTTAGAATATATTTCTTCTACAGATACTGACGACTTAAAGACCGCTGTACAGTGTTTTACAAGATGTTTGACACTGTTAGGGGACAAAATGTTAGACCGTAAAGCTATATTGACATCTATAGGTGCACTTAACGAATTGCATTTAGTTTGGGATGTAGTGGAGGAAGGGAAATATAATGTTATATACTTGAATACAGCATTAGAAAGATACGTGACATACACATTGGAGGATAATTATCCTGATCCCATCCACATAGCAAGCTTTGTTGGTATTAAAGAAAAAGAATCGAATCCTAGGATTATCTTGAACACTTTGCATCATACAACTTTACAGGAGTTCGGACGTCAATATCTTAAAAGGTCGAAAGATAATCACGCATTTGTAAAGTACATACATGATATATTAAACATCCGACTGAGAGACATGGTAGCTGACAAAACAAAATTTGACGACAAATGTCTTGATATGGCTTTAACCTTATTTAATCTGTCTAGATATTTTCTAGCAAACGGTCGTTTCGCTGAAGCTAAAAGTCACATTGCTATTGGAGATTATGTGATATGTACATTTCATGCAGATAAATTGAAAATAACAAGGAAAAAAAGTAAAGATTTTTCTCATTTGTCTGAAAGTTATGATTATGCTTCTGCCAATAGTGCTAGAGCTTGGGGTTCCTATGGAGTGTCTCTTTTACGATTTTGGATGGAAAAATTCTCACAGAATAAAAAAAGTAAATCTTCTGAGGTACAAAATCATATATCAAAATTAAAAATAAAATATCAAGATTCAAATTTGATATTTTCTGCCTTGGAAAAAAAATTGGAACATCTAACTCTTGAGATTACAAAAACATGTATATTGAATCTTGCTGATGCCAAACTAGTCTTTGTAAAAACTTTGAGACAACTTGAAACAGCGAAGGAATATTTTACTGCAGACACTGACATCGAAAATTATGCGAAGATAATGCTTAAAATATCGGATACATATAAATATTTAGCAGGTTTTGAAGAACAAAGAGGTGAACAAATAAAATTACATAAACGGCGAGTAGAATGTTTAGAGGACGCTCGTAGAAAATTTCAAGCAATTACTGTAAATGATAGAGAATTACAAATTTACAAACGGATTTGGTACGAAATAGTGACTTCATGTTCCACGGTAATGGATTTAATGGTCGAGGAAACATATTACGACGAATTATTTGAAGAACTGTCAATGAAAGCTGATCAATATGCGAAAATAATCAGAGAAAATATCGATCTTTATTTAAATGCAGTTTAGATTTTTTTTTATATCTAGCCCTTACTAAGATTTCTTCATTTTTCATTTGTAACTACATTGAAGAATATTATTCAATGCATTCCTTTATTGTATATAAGTCATATAAGAAACATGATATGTGATTAAAAAATATCTTTCCATTAATTATCTGTATTAAATGACTGAATATAAATAATTCTTGAATGAATCAAGTTCCTTAATATTTTTATATGATAGACATACATGAATATATCATTCTTACATTTATTATACTCTTATATTTTTATATTTGACAATGATTTACATTTTACAATAATTGACAATAACACAATCATGTAAGATTATGTATGTTATATACATCACACATTAAATATATTTTTATAGAAATGTATTAAGGTATATAATGTATATAATGTACATAATGTACATAATGTATAGGTATATATTACGCCCTGTCTGACAGTCTTGCTAGTCCTTCTTGATCTGTTTTTCTATACAATTACTATTATTATCAATGTTATTATCATTATTACCGTACGCTATATATGAACATACAGTTGATGCAACTTGTATATATTGTATCTTCATATATGCACATGTTTTATACTGACTTTATTGGTGAATAAGAAATATTAGGCCTTCAGTTGAACCGATATCTTTTGCAAAATGCCAGTTTTCTTATCAATATAAGAAGAATTTCAAATAGTCAGTAATAAGTATATTACTGATGTGAATTTAAAATAATCTGATGGAATATTTCAATTTAAAAAAATCCGAATTGTATTAAATCCGAGAATTATGCTACGTGGTTTCAAACATCATTATATACTGATGAATTCGAGCAGGTTCTAATATCCAATATTTTTCGCACCTTTTTATAACGTTTATGCACTGTAAATTATATCGTTGCGTTTGGCACGGCTTAATCATTTAAACGAGATTGCCTTTATACAAAGCAAGGAAATTTTCGCGTCGAATAATTCCCCTGAATCCCGAAAAAACACTTGCAAAATTTCACGTATTTATTCATGTACGTCGCGTACGAATACTGCGTATATATTATTTGCATGTTTTATTGACAAAAGAAATTATATTCTCACCTATGTTTGTAGTGCTTGTGCTCTGGAGGTAATATCTAAAATTTTGATCTTGTTCAATGGTGCCATGATCATGCACATACCGGCAATATCTGCGAATAATTCATTGCGTATCAATATTTGTAATAGGATTATAATTTATGCATTTTTATAAATGCCAGAAGTCCCGAAATAACTATTATCATGCCGACAAATGTTAAGCAAATCTTCGAAAATGTTTCGATACAAAAATGAACGTATATTAGCATATTCATATCGCGGTATTGCAATTATTTTTTAACAGAAAGCGTTTAAAATTGATCAATCAGATTCGCAGAAAGTTGGCGCGTTGAAAGTTTGCGTATGGAACGCAATATGAAATTAGGTGATTTGGGGTCGTGTCTAATTATTCGTGCATCGTGACTTCAAATTGCGTGCAGTGGAATGATACAAGTATAACTTTACGCGTGACGAAGATTAAACATAGAATTAGAAGATAAATAAGACAAAATACTGCGTTATACTATATAGTTATATACATACGCGTAGAACGATAATATTGGAGACTCGATACTTGCAAGCAATTTATTCATCGTACGATGTCATTGGCCGCGCAAATATTGAACAATCTGATTGGTCGAAATTTTATATATTTATTATTTAAAAATTAAAACAATGTTTCGTTATTAAAATTTTCATTTGCAGATGTGTTTGTAGAATTCGCCATATAACATATAGAACTTACATAATTTCTGTTTTTACAGATAATATATAAATGTAAAAATAAAAATAGTCTTCACGACATCTTATCTTCATTAATTAGTTATAAGTATTTTACATTTGGTGCATTTGTTCAGCTTCATTCACAGGCTGTTTCCAAAATTCTTTGCCAGCGCTGAAAATCTATAGTATACGTTACGTGTACTATAGATTTCCATCGCTGGCAGTGAATTTTTGTAATATTACGTCATTATTATAAATTTTTAGAATTCATAATGAAGAGGATGTTTATACCGTGTTCTTTTGAAAGTTTATTCGATAAATAAATAAATAAATTTGACACTTTCGGTCATTATTGAGTGAGATCTTATGGCTCTATTGTAAGAAAAACTTTGTTTGTATCCAACGTCCGATTCGCAATTTGATATCTTATAGAACGCCTTAGGAACCCTAGATAAAGAAAAATTTGATCCCTATAAAATATACCTTTCTATTGGATATGAGAAGTGTAAACACTGTAAACCCCCCTCCAATTTTCATGCATAGCACGTGTATCCGGAATCCCCCATCTGGGATTAGAGAATTAGAGAACGTTTGATAAATTTGCAAGTCGGAACACAAATCCATAAATTCAATACTGGAAATTGTCTTTGTGTTAATATTGAGCAATAATGTTCGCGTTCCTCAGACAAGTAACGGAAGAAAAACAGGCAATCCTTCAACTCGGTACGCATATAAATAATTTAGAATAATAAGTGTCCGTGTATAATGCTTTTTCACCGTTAATTCTTATTATTGTTTATACAGAAACGGTACCGACCGAATCCGCTACAAGTATGAATATTAGTAAGACATTTTTGGACGTTCTACAATTGTCGTTTGAGGTAAAGTACATGGATGAAGATATCAAAATTGCTAAGAAGAGAAAAAAAATCAAAGCGATAGAGGAGAAAATGAACGTATTATATCAGAATGTAATGGATGTTTCAAGGGACTCAAAATTTGATGATATTGTTGCTTTATCGAATGCTTATTATAACATAGGCTTAGAATATATTCCTTCTACGGATACTGACGATCTAAATACCGCTACAACACATTTTTCAAGATGTTTGGAACTGTTGAAAGGAAAATATTTTGACCGTAAAGCTATATTGACATCTATAGGTGCACTTAACGAATCGAATTCAGTTCATGGGAGAGTAAGCAAAAATAAGTGTACTCATAGATTCTTGAATTCAGCATTGGAAATATATTTAAAATACACACTGAGGGATAATTGCCCTGATCCCATCCACATAGCAAGTCTTGTTGGTATTAAAGAAAAAGAATTTAATTCTAGAATTATCTTGGAAACTTTGCATCATACAACTTTACAAGACTTAGGACTTCAATATCTTGCAAGGTCGAAAGATAAGCACAAATTTGTAATATATATGTACAGGATTTTAAACATTCGACTGACAAACATGGTAGCTGACAAAACAAAATTTGATGAAAAGTGTCTTGATATGGCTGTAACCTTATTTGATCTGTCTAGATACTTTCTAGCAAACGGTCGTTTCGCTGAAGCTAGAAGTCACATTGCTGTTGGAGATTATGTAATATGTAGATTTATTGTAGATAGACTGGAACCAGCAAAGAAAGAAAATAAAGATTCTTCTCACTTGTATGAAAGTTATAATTATGCCTTTGCTCTTAGTTCTAAATCTTGGGGTTCCTATGGAGTTTCTCTTTTACGTTTCTGGATGGAAAAATTCTCACAGAATAAAGAAAACAAATCTAAGATACAAGATATTGTGTCAAAATTAGAAATAACATCTGGGGAGCTACATTTAATATTTTCTAGTCTAGACAAAGAATTGAAACGCACAACTATTAGTATCACAGAAACAAGTATATTAAATTTTTCTGATGCCAAATCGATTTTTAAAAAAACTTTGATGCAACTGGAATCAGCGAAGAAATATTTTACTGTAGACACTAACATTGTAATATATGCAAAAATAACACTTAAAATTTCGGATACATATAAATATTTTGCAGATTTTGAAGAACGAAGAGATAATCAAATAAAACTGCATAAACAACGAGTAAAGTGTTTAGAGGACGCTTGTAAGAATTTTCGTACAACAATTCGGAGTGACAGAGAATTACAAATCTACAAACGGATTTGGTACGAAGTGGTAACTTCATGTTCCAAGATTATGGATTTAATGATGGAGGAAACATATTACGACGAATCATTTGAAGAGACGTCAATGAAAGCTAAGCAATATGTGAAAATAATCGCAGAAAATATCAATTTTTATTTAAATGTGTAAATTTTTTTGTTAATGTTTAGTCCTTTTTAAAATTTGTACGCTTCTCATTATTTGTGACTATGCATTAGAGAATATTATTTGAATGCATTCCTTTATCGTATATAAACATATAATAAAAAACATGATTCGTATTTATAAAATATCTTTCCATTAATTACTTGTATTAAATATGACTGAGAATAAATATAATAAATAAATCATTCTTATTATTTTTATATGATAGACATACATGTAAAAATTTTATTCTTATATATTTAGCACCCTCGTACATTTTTATAATTGACAATAATATACAATCATATAAGATTATATATATTATATTCATTATATTGCATATATGTATGTCACAATAAAAGCACTGAAATCAATGAATAAATAAATATATAAATAAATATATATATATATATATACACTTAGTAGTCAATGTATGCATTTACCAGTAAATGTATATATTCATTAATTTTATGTTTCAAATTTATATCTTTTAATAAGCACCATCATTATATGAAAATTATATCACAGTGATATAGATTGGGTTAGGTTTTTTGGGATGGATGGCACAACCCCCTTACTGCTCTA